ACGCAAAACTCTAGTTGTGGGTGATAACAGTGAAAAATTGATTAGATCACGCAAACTCAATAAACACTAGTTGTGGGTGATAATAGTGAAAAATTGATTAGATCACACAAACTCAAAAACTAAAATCATAATTACACCAGAAACTAACATTAAAAGTTTTATACCAAAGTTATATAATAATAATAAAAAATATGATGTTTACACTAAAAATCTCTATATAGGAGAAACGGGTACTAAAACAATGAACAGATGTAAGAAACCCGAAAAAATCAACATATGATTGAAAACTACATGAAATAAACTTGAAAAATGTTAAACTACTGAACACGGAGAAAAACTCAAACAAAAGAAAAAATCTGGTAGCACTAGAAATCAAAGAATTAAAACCTAATATTAATAAAAAATCTGGTAGCACTAGAAATCAAAGAATCAAAACCTAATATTAATAAAAAATCAGGAGTACCATTATTATTGTATTAAGTTAATTACGTTGAAAACAAGAGGGAGCTGATATCATAAACCAATTTATTTGGTTAGATGTATTTGCATGTCTAACTGTTAGGAATGAAACATTGTACAGAAATAAATCTATCATCTCAGAATCAGCTGTTTAAACTCTTCATATTGCGCACACTAAGTTATACATACTGCAAGTTCTTCGTAACATGTTTCCGATCTCTAACCGAGTGCCGTAAAACCTACCTTTTGTTCCAATAGAGCACGTTTCATTAACACTCTTTCTTCTAATTCCCGTCTTTCCCTATTGCGTTGGGTCTCCGCTTGCATACGTATTTTACTTTGGAAGGCAATTAGAAGTTCCCGTTCTTGCTCTAACTGCTCTTTCAACTGTCGAGCTTCCATCTCCTGAGACTCGTCCAATCGGATCTGAAATTCAATGTTACTTATGAAATAACTAGCACATATTATAGTTAAAATCTCTTTCTTAGTTGTGTAGTTGTTTATGTTCAATATATCGTGTCTTTTATAGCTATAAATTATCCAAACTTTTCTCTTACAGTAACGTGACTTTCGTATTCACAGTTAGTTATGTGAAATAACAAAGTTTGGACTTTTATAACAGCTTCACAGTTATTCCTTACTAGACTATGTTACAGTAATCGTGTTGTTCTACAGATGACGAAATGCCACCTACTGAAGCCAAAAGCTTTCAGTAAAAGACGCCGGCAAGAAGTGTTTTGAAAAGTGTATAATTTCCTATAACAAAGTAGAGAACAGATACAAAACAACAGATCTTTGTTTCCATATGATATTTCTTCTTCACTCGTGTCATTGCAAGTAGTTACAGTATACAGGAACATCCACGGATGTAACTTACAAACCATATAGGCCAAACATCAATTGTAGTAGTTATGAAGAAAAAAAATCATACAGATATAATCCTCAAAAATTAGATGCTTTTTTTTTCACATTCAGTACATAATTTAATTGCAAGAACTAAATGTTTTGTTTTTAAAATGACATTTCTAACGTAGAGGGCGCCTCTAGTGTCATGTATCTATGGAGACAGTTTAATACGTACTTTAAATGTCTAACACTAATGAACAGAATGATATTTATGTTAACTTAAGAACAGACTTTTCTGTAACTAAAGTAACACCGACAAGTTAAATAGTTCCAGTAATTTTTTTTCTCTACAGTTAAGGAATTTTTGTAAAAATTATTTTACTATAGTGAGTTATAAAAAAACTGTAACAACCATTTCAGACTGATGATTAACAGGCCTAGCTAGCTCTAAATGCCCATAGAAAAGATGCAATTTTCTAGAAAACACAAAGATAAGTCTTCGTATGTGTTGAAAATATACCTTTCAAAGAATAACAAGCACAAAGTGGAGAAACATTTACACCTTTCATTCCAGGTACATGTTCCTAACTTAACCTTGAAGAATAGAAAATTTCTTGTTTCACTTACGGATTACTTCTGCAGCATCTCGGCTATACTTCATACTTACGGATTGCTTCTGCAGCATCTCGGCTCTATTCTGTTCGTACTTACGGATTACTTCTGCAGCATCTTGGCTCTATTCTGTTCGTACTTACGGATAGCTTCTGCAGCATCTCGGCTCTATTCTGTTCGTACTTACGGATTGCTTCTGCAGCATCTCGGCTCTATTCTGTTCGTACTTACGGATTGCTTCTGCAGCATCTCGGCTATACCCTGTTCATACTTACGGATTGCTTCTGCAGCATCTCGGCTATACTCTGTTCATACTGTTCCCCCAGTATAGCTAGCTTTCTTCTCTGCTCATCCTTTAACTTTTTAATAACAGCCTTCTGTTCTTCTTTCGGAGTAGTGGCCAATATCTGGTTCTTCCAAGCCTTGTACTGACGAGTCTGTATCTTACACGTCTCCCGAAACTGTTTCCTTATCTGAAGTTCTTTTTGCTACACAGATAAATGAATTGTTACTGGTTCCTATATTCATTTTTGTTTTTCTTATCAACTGAATTCACTTTAATATATATATATATACTGGCTCAACTATATAAAATACTGAAGAGTAATATTTGTGGAAAAAGTTTTAATATTAAAATAAGAGAGAGAGAGAGACAAGAATATCAGGAACACTTCACAAAAGATAACTGTATGTTACTGAACAGTTCTGCTACATAAACTATAAAACCTTCACTCTTTATTAAGTCAAAAAACAAATCCTCCTTCTACTTTTCACGATTCTTTAATCACTCAATAAATAATCACTCTAATCACACCTAGGAAAACAGCTCGAAAGCTTTCATATATCAGTGCAGTATTTCTCTAATAACACCTAGGAAAACAGCTCGAAAGCTTTCACATATCAGTGCAGTATTTCTCTAATAACACCTAGGAAAACAGCTCGAAAGCTTTCACATATCAGTGCAGTATTTCTCTAATAACACCTAGGAAAACAGCTCGAAAGCTTTCATATATCAGTGCAGTATTTCTCTAATAACACCTAGGAAAACAGCTCGAAAGCTTTCATATATCAGTGCAGTATTTCTCGAACTTTTGTCTTCTTTGACCTCTTTAATAAATATGCTTTCTTGCATGCTCCCCTCTTTTTGTTTTTTAATGAGTGAAAAAATTACTTATAATACACATCAAAATGCTATATGTGCTATAGCAATCACTTTATGTTATAATTAATATGAAAACAGTTTTATATTATTGCACTAGTGGCTCTCCTAATCTCTCGTGCCCCCTCAAGAGATCACTTGCATCCTCAACCCCCTCCAGAGGCTTGCCCAACACTTTGGAAAATGCTATGTTAGTGTACTGTTATAATTTGAATTATGTAAACACTTCAACTGTAACCAAGTATAATACTAGTCTACTGTTGTAATTTGAATTATGTAAACACTTCAACTGTAACCAAGTATAATGCTAGTGTACTGTTGTAATTTGAATTATGTAAACACTTCAACTGTAACCAAGTATAATGCTAGTGTACTGTTGTAATTTGAATCATGTAAACACTTTACAACTGTAACCAAGTATAATGCTAGTGTACTGTTGTAATTTGAATTATGTAAACACTTCAACTGTAACCAAGTATAATGCTAGTGTACTGTTGTAATTTGAATCATGTAAACACTTCAACTGTAACCAAGTATAATGCTAGTCTACTGTTGTAATTTGAATCATGTAAACACTTTACAACTGTAACCAAGTATAATGCTAGTGTACTGTTGTAATTTGAATCATGTAAACACTTCAACTGTAACCAAGTATAATGCTAGTCTACTGTTGTAATTTGAATCATGTAAACACTTTACAACTGTAACCAAGTATAATGCTAGTGTACTGTTGTAATTTGAATCATGTAAACACTTCAACTGTAACCAAGTATAATGCTAGTCTACTGTTGTAATTTGAATCA